AGATCTTTTGATTTATCAGATAGTCCTTTTTGTTTGCCATTTTTGTCTGCTTTTCTCACAATGCAAAACAATCCTTGTGTGCAGATTGAAGAAATGTGTCATAAAGAAACACTTGGTGCCCCACATTCACGCTGGCCACCAATTGCACCCAGCATAAATGCCCGGCACATTTGAAGTACCACCCACATGATAAGTAAATCAGGATGATTGGTTTGAACCAAAATTTCCCTAGCTGACAGATCTTTTCATTCCCTGTTTTTACTGTGGTTGATTCTATGGTCTCAATAAAAATGACAAATCAATTTTGGAAGAGTGTATATAAGGGTGTATTGACAATGTAGAATTAAGGCAGTTTGATACCACTTTAACTGCCATGACTCAGTGTTATGAATCTTGGAATTTGTAGTTTTGGTACTATTTGACAGAAAAGGATTTTATAAACAACATAACCTCCAAAACTTATTCCAAAGCAACTTAAATGGAACTGTTGTGGAAAACATTTACCCCTGGAAGTCATCACTTTATATTACTATCATCATGGGATATAAATGAAGAAAGAAAGTTCAATGTGTCAAAAAAGGATACACTGCTAGACTCCAATCATTATTTTTTCATTACCAAAAATTGATTTCACACACCGTGAAATCTATCGATGTCCAATCACATTGGAAATAACACAGGTTTATGTGGATCCCAGAGAATGACATATTACTTAAATTATTATGTAAAGTAATAAAATTTTCAATTCTCTTCCCACCAAGAATATACCAAATCTACCAGAAGCATCTAGTTTTATTAGTTATGTGATTAATAGCATTGCCATCTAACACTTTCTTCATGTTGTTGAAGGCTTTCATGGCCGGAATCACTGGGTTGCTGTGAGTTTTCTCAGCTTTATGGCCATGTTCCAGAAGCATTCTCTCCTGATGTTTCACCCAGATCTATGGCAGGCATCCTCAGATGTTGTGAGGTCTCCCACATTTATGGCAGGCATAGGTCTGTTGGAAACTAGGCCTATGAAGTTTATATATCTGTGGAATGTCCAGGTAGGAGAAAGAACTCTTGTCTGCTTGAGGCAAGTGTGAATGTTGCAGTTGATCACCTTGATTAGCATTTAATGGCCTTGCAGCTCCACAGGCTCCACAGGTTGCTGCCTGTGGGAATCTTTTGTTGGGAGGTGTTAGCTGGCCCTGATCGATTCTTATCAGAAGAGCTGCAAGACCAAGAACAACCCACGAGAGTAAAGACAAAAATCCAACCAGAGGAAGTGTTCTTACCATACATCATGGAAACCACTTACCGCATAGGGAAGCTGATGAAGTAATGTAACCTACAACTATCTACAGACCCACTAAGAAAACAAATGCTACATTCAGCAAAGGACAAGAGGGATTTTCTCATCTCTGCAAGAGTCTGCTTTATACCATGCAGTTTACATAGTAAAGGTAAAGGTTTTCCCCTGACATTAAGCCTAGTTGTGTCTGACTCTTGGGGGTGGTGCTCCTCTCCATTTCTAAGTCGAAGAGCCAGCATTGTCCGTAGACACCTCCAAGATCATGTGGCCGGCATGACTGCATGGAGCGCCATTACCTTCCCGCCGGAGCAGTACCTAACGATTCCCTCTTTTATGTTTAACCAATGGATTATTTATTCTGCTTTAAGAGCACATTTTGTTGCTACTACTGCTTATATTTTGCTAATTTTTATCATTTATTTTAATTATTTCTTTCCACTGAAAGCTGCTGCCATGATATGATACAGTAGAGAGCAACCAAGGGCTAAATTCCATTAAACTTCCATGAAATACATTATCCTAGTAAAATGAAAGCTGTTTAGTGCTTTCATTTCTGTAACTGTTATTCAGGTTTAGAGAGTGCAAAAAGGAAGTCAATATCATAATTCTTGAGCTCAGAGCATCTCTCTTGAGGGTGTTCTCTGAGTTAAAATTATTCTCTGTTGACCTGTATTTTCAGCTTCAGGATGTAACTGAACTCTGTATATGGATTTAAACAGTCTTTTCTCCTGCAGAGAGCAAAACAGGCTTCTGCTATAGCTTACCTCCAAGTCTATTCTATGCCAGTTCTGAGTCAATGTCTCTCTCATACACTCCTTTTCTCTCTCTGTACTATAGATGGATCTATTAATTGATTTTGGATGCATTTTTGTGCAAGTTTTTCAAATCGATGCATTAATAGCTGTATGGATACATTTATGGCACATTTTAGAAATGAAAAGTATTTCTAATAATTTTTCACATGTGTGCAGGTTCACCAACTTATTTCACAAAATGCATCTCAAGCCCAGAAATATATGGACTTCCAGCTTCAAACTGTGTCCTATTCCATGTTCAGCTCAGGAGTGTGGAATTAGATAATACAGTGAAAAATGCTTTTAGCTATGTGAATTACTCACACCATTCCAGTTTTTTTGGAAACTCTAGTTTTGTGATGGTTGAACATAAGAGTCTAGCACAAGGCTTCTTAAATTTGTTCAGTAATGACCCCTTTTCACCTGTGCCCCCGGTGGCACAGTGAGTTAAACCCCTGTGCTGGCAGGACTGAAGACCGACAGGTCGCAGGTTCAAATCCGGGGAGAGGTGGATGAGCTCCCTCTATCAACTCCAGCTCCTCATGCGGGGACATGAGAGAAGCCTCCCACAAGGATGATAAAAACATCAAATCATCTGGGCATCCCCTGGGCAACGTCCTTAAAGATGGCCAATTCTCTCACACCAGAAGCGACTTGCAGTTTCTCAAGTCGCTCCTGACACGACAAAAAAAAACCTGATAAATTTTTATGCAGCCCCAGATACATAGGTATATAAAATACCATATATACTCAAATATAAGCAGAGTTTTTCCGCCCTTGTTAGGCTGAAAAAGGCCCCCACGGCTTATACTCAAGTCAAAATTATTTATCATTTTACTTTGTTACTATTATTATTTCATTTATTATTTTGCTCTATTTATTATGGCTATTATTATTTAATTTAAATTATTTTACTCTATTATTATTATTATTATTACATTTATTATTTTATTCTATATTGCTGTTATTAATTATTTTACTCTATTTAATACATTTATTATTTTGCTCTATTATTACTGTTATTATTACATTTCCAATATTTTACTCTATTATTATATTTATTACATTTATTATTTTACTCTATTATTGTTATTACATTATTTTGCTCTATTTATTATCATCATTATTACATTTATTATTTTGCTCTGTTATTACTGTTATTATTACATTTCCAATATTTTACTCTATTATTATTTTTATTACATTTATTATTTTACTCTATTATTATTGGAAGGATACGCAAGCACAATTACATTGAAGAAGGTTAGAATAATGGTTTAATCATTAATGGACAGTCTTCTCAAATTACAGTTTTATGTAAATATTCAAAAACATTGAACCGACTTATACCTCAATTAATGTAACTGTATTTGTATCTATTTTTATTTTGAAATTTACCAGTATCTGCTGCATTTCCCACCCTTGGCTTATACTTGAGTTGACAGGTTTTCCCAGTTTTTTATAGTAACATTAGGTGCCTCGGCTTATATTTGGGTTGGCCTATACTCGAGTATATATGGTATCTCTCCTTCCTTTCTTCAACTGGAACCCCCTTCCTCCTCCTCCCATGTGAACTTCTCTTTTCTTTCCCCAAATGGCACCCTTTTCCTGCTCCTCCTTCCAAATGCACCTATTTTTTCCTAACGAGACCCTCTCGTCCTCCTCTTCCTCTTCCTCTCAAATGCATCTCTCACTCTTTTTCTTAACACACAACATGGCAAGCTGCCTCGCCCAGCCCCTTTCTCTTACCTTAGCAGTTTTCTCCTCCTTTGGCAACAGCAACCCCTTCTACCCTATGGGGCAGATGGCAGAGCACAGACCGACAAGTCAGTCAGTCTCATTCACAAGAGAGTCACCACCATGCACAGGTTGTAGGCGGTTGATGCTGTGACTTCTCCATTCTTACGGACACATTTTCCATGACCCCAACCATTTGCAACCCCTAGTTTAAGAAGCTTTGGTCTAGCACAATATTTTGCAGACATACTTAACAGATGTGATAATGCAAAATCACTTTGTCTCTGGGTGTACTTATACTTTAATATTGTCACAGTTTGATAACTTTTTAGATGCCATCGCTCAGTACTATGGGATCCTGGGATCTCTAGTTTGACAAGGCATCAGCACTTTTTGGAAGAGAAGGCTAAAGACATTTCAAAACTGTGACATTCATAATTCCATTGCTTTGTGCCATGATGGTGACAGTGATGTCAAACTGCATTAATTCTACAATATAGCTGTATTCCTACTTTACTACTCCTACTATTATTTTTAGTCCACTTTCTAATAAAAAAACAAGCAGCTTACTGCTGACTAAAAGGTCAGCGGTTTGAATCCAGGGAGTGGGATGAGCTCCTGCCTGTCAGCTCGAGCTTCTCATGCAGAACATGAGAGAAGCCTCCTGTAAAATATATGGGCATTCCCTGAACCTCTTAATATAGTTCCTCATGTTGTGGTGACCCCCAACCATAACATTGTTTTCGTTGCTACTTCATAACTGTAATTTTGCTATTGTTATGAATCGTAATGTAAATATCTGATATGCAGGATGTATTTTCATTCACTGGACCAAATTTGGCACAGATACCAGATATGCCCAAATTTGAATACTGGTGGGGTTGGGGGGATTGATTTTGTCATTTGGGAGTTGTAGTTGCAGACGGCCAATTCTCTCACACTAGAAGCTACTTGCAGTTTCTCAAGTCGCTCCTGACACACACACACACACACACACACACACACACACAAAACCAATTCAAGAACAATAACAATAGTTCCATTGATAAATCTCTTTCTTCTTCTGTGGAACTGATCTATTTTCTTCTCTTTAAAATATCTCAGCCAGCAGACAATTGGAGAGCAAAGCAATGTCAATGTCAGACAATACCCCTCCATGAAATATTTCTTCCTACCTTTTGACTTTCTCTCATAGAAGCTTCTTCCTCGAGGTGGCGCAGTTTCTGTGTACAGATTCTTCATATCCTCTTGCCATGTATCTGGATTAAAATGCCTCAGCAGTTCCTCCACGGTATCAAATTCAGCAATGGTTTGATCCAGAGCTTCTGCCGTTAGAGTAGGGTCGGTCACTGATGAAGAGTGATGGGAAACACCCTAAAAGTGACATACAGGGCAATGTATTTTGAAAAACCCAGGGGAAAATTGATAGGCATTTTAAATACACATTTTCCTGAGCTATTTTTACAGATTGCATTCATGCAAAGCAAGGGATGCTAAAAAATCATTTAGATGCAGCCATTTTCTCTCTGTGTGCATGAGTGTGTGCTGCAGATGGGAATTATATAACCACTGAGATGTTGCTAGAATGGATTGTAACTTCCAGCAGACAAAGCCAACAACAACTGGTGATTGTTTCTGGAAGGTGCAGTCCAGCAAGATCTGAAGAGTTGCATGATTTCTAGTCCTCACTCACTCACACAGGAACACTTTACAACCCTAAATTATTTACGGGGCTTTCAAAAAAAATTTTTTTTGACACCAACCCTTTTAAATCACACATCCTGACTATAGATCCGTGGTTCTCAACCTTCCTAATGCTGTGACCTCTTAATACAGTTCCTCATGTTGTGGTGACTCCCCCCCCACACCTTAAATTATTTTCGTTGCTACTTCATAACTGTAATTTTTGCTATTGTTGATCATAATGTAAATATCTGATATGCAGGATGTATTTTCATTCACTGCACCAAACTTGGCATCAATACCTTATATGCCCAAATTTGAATACTGGTGGGGTTGAGGGGATTGCTTTTGTCATTTGGGAGTTGTAGTAGCTGTGATTTATATTTAACCTACACTCAAAGAGCATTCTGAACTCCACCAAGGATGGAATTGAACCAAACTTGGCACACAGAATTCCTGTGACCAACGGAAAATACCGGAAGGGTTTGTTGGACATTGACCTTGAGTTTTGAAGTTGTAGTTCACCTACATCCAGACAGCACAATGATGGATCTGGACCAAACTTGGCACAGATGCTCAATATGCCCAAATATGAAAACTGGTGGAGTTTGGGGAAAATAGACCTTGACATTTGGAAGTCGTAGTTGCTGGGATTGATTGCTCATCTACATTCAAAGAGCATTCTGAACCCCACCAACAATAGAATTGGGCCAAATTTCCCACACAGAACCCCGTGACCAACAGAAAAATTCTGATAGTCTTTGGTGACCCCTCTGACACTCCCTTGTGATCTCCTCCAAGGGTCCTGACCCCAAGGTTGAGAAACACTACTATAAAGCATATTAACTGGCAGATTCTGGAAGTTGCAGTCCAAGAAAGTAACTTTTCTAAGCTCTGATTATGTATGTATGTCAATATGCACTGTATTGTGGCCTGCAAAATATTTTTTAAACTAATGATTCCAGAATGTTTTTGGAGGGAGAGGGAGTTTCTGGGAGTTATACTCTAAAAAGCAACTTTTCCAGTATTTTAGAAGACCGATACCTATTCCAAAGGGCTCACAAAATAACACTCAACAAAGAGGAGACTACATAGTAAAAGGAAGCAAGGAAAAAGAAGGCACTAACTGGGTTAGAGTACCTGGTTATTTCAGTTAAATGTATTTAGTATGTCAAGGATTATGGGGTTGAACTTCACAGAAAAGGTAATTTTGAAGAAGGATTTGAAGAGGTGGTCTTATGGCATTGCTTGAGATAACAGTTTCAGGCTTAAGGAACAGCAAGGGAGAAAGGGCATATTTGGTTAGAGAAGTTGGGGGATCTTCAGACTGTTGAGGGTAGAGAATAAGTAGCAGTGAACTTCAGAGTCAGGAATGTCCCAAACCGCAAGACTGGAGAAATAAGAAGAGATAACAGCACAGAGTTGCGGATGAAAAGCTTTTTCTGGATGTACTAATGGACACTGATGTAAGGCTCTGAAGAGAAGGTTACATCAAAAAATGTTTCTAGACAGTGGTGAGGAGAACATGGTGAGACATCCAAAGAGAATAACTTTCAGCAGTCAAGGTGAATGAAGACCAATGGTGAAAAAACCAAGCATTCCATCCACTGCCACCCTTCCTTGTTATAAAACCTATAAAATTGTGGAAGTCAACAGAAAAATATGACTTCCATGATTTAGCTAACATGTAGAAAAATAAATCTTTGTTCTCTTGGCAGAAGATGGAAAATAAGACACAGACACTACGGTAACATGATGGTATAGATAAGGAACAATTCTTTGAGAAGTAGCATCTGAAAAAAATTGAGTTGCTTCTGGTGGTTATCCAGTTTTAGCAGAAAAAAAATCACCAAGTGCAACAAGACCTGATCCAGTGTTTGAAAAAGTCACTTTTCAAGCTTTTCTGTGTCAGAAGCAACTTGAGAAACTGCAAACCACTTCTGGTGTGAGAGAATTGGCCATCTACAAGGAGGTTGCTCAGGGGACGCCCGGATGTTTGATGTTTTACCATCCTTGTGTGTGGCTTCTCTCATGTCCCCGCATGGGCAGCTGAAGCTGACAGAGTGAGCTCAACCCGTGCTCTCTGGATTCGAACAACTGACCTGTTGGTCAGCAGTCCTGCTGGCACAAGAGTTTAACCCATAGTGCCTCCAGGGGCTCCTACTGATCTTGGTCCAGAGTGAGGGATACTTCAGAGTTTGCAGGAGTTTTTTTCCATGGTTACTTCAAAGTGATATGAGGTGGGAGAGGACTGGCTCACTGTCTATATTTGAATAGCAAAAGTAATGCAAACCCTCAGAAGTATGTGTGGGAGAACTGAACAATGCAAGCTTACATAAGCTGTTAATGTCATCTCCTATTTACTAAGTATATGGTTTAGACGCCAGTTCTTAAGCTTTCTAATAAGCAAGGCAGAACTAAATTACACGCTGAGTGAAAAGTGAGAAGAGAAAACATTTCTGCACTTGTAGTGCATCTAAAACTATTTTTTAGGAAGGATGTGAAGGGATCTCATCAAAGCACCCTCAACAGGTGGCCATCCAGCTTCTGTTTAAAAGCCTCCAAAGAGGGAGCCTCCACCACACTCCGGGGCAGAGAGTTTAACTGCTGAATAGCTCTAACAAGAAATTCTTCCTAATGTTCAGATAGAATCTCCTTTCTTGTAGTTTGAAGCCATTGTTCCACATCCTAGTCTCCAGGGCAGCAGAAAACAAACTTGCTTCCTTCTCCCTATGAATTCCTCTCACATATTTATACACGGCTCCCATCATGTCTCCTCTCAGCCTTCTTTTCTGAAGGCTAAACATGCCCAGCTTTTTCAGCCACTCCTCATAGGGCTTGATCTCCAGATCCTTGAACATCTGAGTTGCCCTTCTCTGGACATATTCCCTCTTGTCAACATCTCCCTTCAATTGCGGTGTCCAGAATTGGACACAGTATTCTAAGTGTGGTCTGACTATGGCAGAATAGAGGGGGAGCATGACTTTCTTGGATCTAGACTCCCGACTCCCATTTCTGCATAGCCTCTTGCCTCTCAAGAGCATCCTATCCCACATGCAGAAAAGTTGTGTTACGATGGATAAGATATGATTGGCTGATGTTTTCTTTTTGGTGTGGACATCATCAAATCTTCTTTTTATAATTTAATCCAAGGTGCTGGTTTTGACCTACAAAACCCTTTTCGTCTCCGGTCCAGTGTATCTGTCCGAACGTATCTCCCTCTACGTCCCACTCCGGAATTTGAGATCATCTGGGGAGGCCCTGCTCTCGACCCCACCGCTATCACAAGTGAGGTGGTGGGGATGAGGAGCAGGGCCTTCTCAGTGGTGGCCCCTCACCTGTGGAACTCACTCCTGGCGGATAGCAGGACATCGACATCACTCCTGTCCTTCAGGAGGAAGGTAAAGACGTGGTTGTGGGACCAGGCCTTCGGGCAATCTGACAACTAGATATGGACAACCAGATGGATAGGACTGACAGGACTGACAATTGTGGAATTGGAATTTGAACTATGAGATTGCGAAACGCTGACCGTCAATGAGGAGAAATGGTTTGTATTGGTTTTATTGCTTTTACTGGTTTTATGGTTGTTTTCGCCTTGCAAGAATTGTTGTTTCTGTTAATTGATGTTATTGCTAGAATTGCTGTTCTCTGTTAATTGATGTTATTTTGTCTTATTGTTGTTATGTGATGCGGGCATCAAATTGTGCCTTGCTTTTGTAAGCCGCCCTGAGTCCCCTTCGGGGTGAGAAGGGCGAGGTAGAAGCAACTGAAATAAATAATAAATATTTTTCATAAAACAATGCTAGACATTACTTACCATAACAGGGCTGGTAACTGATTCCCAGTTGGTTACATATACACCCTGAAGATCATACTAGGACACAAAAAAAGCAGATAGAACAATCAGAACACTGCTACATAGTCATCATCCCCCACTTACTTATACACAATGTAATAGTATGATCCTTGTGCTGGAAGCAAAGAGGCATCAACACATGTATAATTAGAGCCAGGAGGAGTTCTAGAGCACATGCCTGCTCTTTTGCTTGACCTTTCTGCGTCTTTCTTTCATATATGTATGCAGGCCTTTTGGCTTCCTTTCTGCCTGGAGGTCATTTTCCTCTTTTTTCCAAAAGTTTGTATAAGATGTCTTTGTCTCGGATGGGTAGATCCATGACACTCCTGCCTGAGGCTGGCTTACCTGCACATGAGAGCAAGCTTTAGGGGCTCTTTACTAAAATATAGCTAAGTCTTCTTTTATCTCTCTCCTTTTCTATCCCAAATATATTTCTTGAAACAATAAATATAAGTTTTCACTTTTTTTCACCTTACAAAAGTACTGTATTTCTCTCCTGGCTTTCTACTACAAACTCATATTGCACTGGGTTCTCTACACTCTACTTGATATCAATAGCAAATTACAAATTGAGTATCCCTTGTCCAAAATGCCTGGGACCAGGTTGTGGCACAGCTGGTTGGGAGTCAGCTACATTACAATCACTACTAACCGAAAGGTCATGAGTTCAAAGCCAGTCCAGGTTGGAGTAAACTCCCGACCATTTGTCTAGCTTGCTGTAAACCTTTGCAGCCCGAAAGACAGTTGCATCTGTCAAGTAGGAAATTTAGGTACTGCTTATGAGGGGAGGCTAATTTAACTAATTTACAATGCCATAAAAATCTCCAGCAGCATGCAAAAGAATGCTCCTCACCTTCCCAAACTATATTTCCCATAATTTTGTGCTCTCTCAGTGTCTTTCACTTGTCTTTGTCCCACCCTGCTGATTTCCTCTCATGTTGAGAGGCCATCAATTTAAAGAGGAATGGCAGCCTTTTTGGCTTCGCCGTGCACTGAAAATGAAACTGACTTTGATAGGATTCCGAGCATTACAGAATTCAAAAAATAAAATAAAAAATGGGTCACTTCTGAATCTTAAGGCTTTGTGTGGGTGGTCCCCACAGTGTTTCTTAATAGTGTTTCGTATATGCAAAATTTACGACTTAGATCTTACTAATTACATACAAAATTATGAACAACTCTATGAGATATATCTGGATGTACTAATGAGATAATACAATCTTTCCTACTCTACAACCAGTACATCAAAGTGTGGCCAGTATGGCAAATGTTATTAATGAGAAATAAAACCCCAGCAACACCCAAGCTAAGAGGCCTTTCACACATCCCTATATCCCAGAATATCAAGGCAGAAAATCCCACAATGCTAATGAAGGTGGTCAGTTGAAACATTCACACCTAGCTCCAGCAGAGAAGAGCTCTTTGCCCCACCCCAGCCATTCCACAGATATATAAACCCATTGTCCTAATTCCAACAGACCTCACTACCTCTGAGGATGCTTGCCATAGATGCAGGCGAAACGTCAGGAGAAATGCCTCTAGAACATGGCCTTATAGCCCGAAAAAAACCCACAACAACCTAGTGATTCCAGCCATGAAAGCCTTCGACAATACAAATCCCACAATATCTGCTTTGAACTGGGTTATCTGAGTCCACACTGCCACATATTCCAGTTCAAAGCAGATAATGTGGGGTTTTATTCAGCTTTGTGGAAGGGGCCTAAGAGGGGCTGCAGCAGTTTCCTTTTGCCTGAGCCTCCTATCAAGGGGGAAATTTGATTCCTTATGGTCCTCTCTCTGGGCCCTTCCATGCAGCCATATAACCCAGAATGTCAAGGTCAGAAAATCCCACAATATCTGCTTTGAACTGGGTTATATGAGTCCACACTGCCATATATTCCAGTTCAAAACAGAAAATGTGGGATTTTATCCAGCAGTGTGGAAGTGGCCTCCTTTCCTTCCTGCTGAGTATATTTGAGCAATATGAACTTGGCTTGCAGCAACTGAAATAAACTGAGAACAAAGGGAAAAAGTGGGAGAAGAGAAACTGAGTCATTTTCAAAGTGGCTGAAAAAGAGGTCTGACAGAGGATTAATTGGGACTGTCTCTGCCCAATGGGGACAGAGAGGGTATGTTCCTATACCTTATGATAAATTGTTATAAGAATCAATTCAAACAACTCAAAACCAGAATGCATAAGCATACAACTAGAAAATGAACAAGAGTCTCTTGTAACAAAAGCACAGCAAAGATAATGAATTTTCATTTCATGTTCTGAATGCCCTTCTCAGCTTTGGCAAATCAATCAGTCCTTTAATGATTTATTATCATAGTTGCACAAGAGATATTTTGTTTTCTTGAAATCAGCATAGGTAATGCTCTCTTTTAACTCCAGCTGTGCAACATGAAGTAAAAAAGACTGCTTGCTGATAGGGGCCCTGAAGGCAATGGGAAAATATCCATTCAGGTAAGCAAAAAACTCTATATAAATTGGACAAAAACCCCCTTTCCTTCATGTGTTTTACATAATGTATACAGGCAGAGCATAGATGAGGGTACATCTCCACTTTGACATGACACATGGCTGAGGAATCATAGAATTTGTAATTTGATCAGACACTATCACACTTTGGCAGAGGCTAAAGACTTTGTAAAACTATGGCATTTGTGATTCCATTGCACTGAATCATGATATTTAAAGTGCTATCAGAGTACATTAATTCTACAATGCAGATGCACCCTAAGTATGCTCCACTGCAATGTCTTCTCAGGGTTTGGAATAGTTGGTGCTTTGGACTTCAATTCTTAGAATCTCTCAGCCATATGCAAAAGGGGAAATAAAAATGAATGAAAATCCTGCTACGACTCTGGCAACTGATCTGAACTTCCTCTACCCCAACTATTTTTAAAACCCTGAATCATCCACTTTAAAGAGGAAAATCAAAACAAGACTCCATTTAGTTCACTAGAGAAAGGCAACACCTGCCTAGTATTTCAAGTGGCTGGAAATGGCTAGGTGTTACCACCTGTTCTTGGCTTTTACATCGCGCTCATTTTGTCTCAACGATTTTACACTTCCTTTAGGAAAATACTTCATCCTCCATTCACTTGGAGATGTTTTTGTGTTTCATGATCACTTAGCACAGCTGCAGTCACTTGGAGCCTCTGAAGGGTTTTCCAAAGCAACCCAGTCTTCTGTTTATATTACCGGTTCCAATTCCTGCTTACACACTGAACAAACAACAAAATCATTTCTCATAACCTTTAGATCCACACAGCTCATAATAGCCGTCATATATCTGAATCCATGCCTCCCCTCAGCAGTATTGCTGGGCTATTTATGGTGCCCAAAGTGGTGCCGTTTTTTTCAGTTTTAAAGTTCTGCTGCAGAAATGTTTGGGGCCTTTTGGGGGTTTTCTATAAAGGTATATTTTAAAAATTAGTTCTCTTTACTTTTGCAATTTACTAAACCATAATGGCTGTGGAACTCCCTCCCCAGGGATAGTAGATCAATCCCCTTCCTCCTGACCTTCCGCAAGAGAGTGGAAATGTAGCTTTGTGACCAAGTCTTTAGAGAACTTGTGCAATAGATAGACTTGGAACAATGGGCAAGGACCATTGGAGCAGCCCGGATTACGCTCATGAATTATGTGTTTAACTCTGAATGTATTTTTAAAAAATGTTTTGTTTTTAATGTACTTTTAAATTTTATTTTAATATTTATTTAAGTGTACATTGTGCCTTGAGTCGCCTCCGGGGTGGACAGGTGGAGTAGAAATGTCATAAATAAATCAATAAACAAAAAAGGTGTATGCAGCGTTGAACTAGTGATCCACAAGAGTAAGATATGAATCTTTGCTTGGCCATTGAAATACATTGAATGACATTGAGCAAGTCATACCCTCGAAATTTCCCACTGACATGGAAATCATCTAGAGTTGGATTGCATCTCTGTGAATACCATCAATGGCTTTAACGAGCTAGAGCAAATGGGGACTGCAATCTACTAAAATCCTAAAGATTTTTTTTTTAGTCATGTCAGGAGCAACCTGAGAAACTGCAAGTTGCTTCTGGTGTGAGAGAATTGGCTGTCTGCAAGGACATTGCCCAGGAGTTGCCCGGATGATTTGATTTTTTATCATCCTTGTGGGAGGCTTCTCTCATGTTCCTGTATGAGGAGCTGGAGATGGGGCTGATAGAGGGAGCTCATCTGCCTCTCCCCAGATTCGAACCTGTGACCTGTCGGTCTTCAGTCCTGCTGGCACAGGGATTTAACCCACTGTGTCACCGAGGGCTTCTTTTGATCCTAAAGGTCATATGATTACTATCTATATCCTATGTCCTATAAACCGAATTCAACCAGTCGCTTTGCCAATCATAAATAATGTACTTGCATTAATATGATTGATAGTCTTAATTTTAATTAGGATGGAAATTATGAATTTCAGGCAAATGTGTTTCAGGGCAAAAAGAATTTTGGTAAAACACATCTTTTCCTGTGCAAACTATGCCTGTGTATATGTGTTTTGGTGAAAAATACATGCAGGAAAGCTACATGTGGTTGTGGTTTTTAGGAAACAATATTTTGGTTCAAGAATCAGTGTGTTTTGGATAACTACATATTTATTTATTTTGTTTTATACCCCGCCCTCTCTCCCTCACTGAGAAACTCAGAGCAGCTATTATCTGGCCCCAAACAAATTTTATGTGCAGAAAAGTCATGCACATTTTTAAATATATATTCTCCCTAGCTGAGAGCCCCTTCACATTACACAGTGATAGCACAATGATTCCAGTTTGATTGTCATGGATCCAATGGAATCCTTGAATTTGTAGTTTTTAGAATTCTCAACTTGAGAACATCAGTGCCTCATCAAACTCCATATCCAGAGATTCTGTATCCACAGATTCAACCATCCTTGACTTGAAAGTATCCCCTGCCCTTCCAAAAATAATAAATAAATGCAACTATTTTCAAATTATCTACAATGCAAATGTTGATTTTGCCATTTTATATA